CTCTCCCGAAGACGGGCCTTCAAGTACGTCAGGATCAGCCACAGGTAATGTGTTTGAGCAGTCTAGAAAGACTGGTAGAGTCAACACGGAGGGCTGCACCCCACACTGTTGTCTTTCCTGCATGCTAAGCCAGATTTAAACCACACGTTTTGAGGCTGTTCCTGAACTGTGCACAGTTCAGTTATGCTGTTGTAAGACACCGCTTTGCAACTGTGTTAAGGCAGCCTCCACCTACTCTAGGTCTCCAATTTTATGCCAGAAAAGAAATCCCATACCAGAAAGACTAAGTATTTCTCTTCAGTTTTCACATTTCCATTTTCAGGAACTGTTCACCTTCTGTCGAGAAGGAAGATGGGGTCTGAAGCCGTGTGCCTGTAGAATGGCAGGCAACGTAAGTAGCACCAGAATGAAGAAAGCCCATGTTACCAATGCGAGACTGTTATCCCATTGAGACTGGCTTTACTTAATCTAGGAGATCACTGTATTTCTCTAGAGACTGCTTCTCCAGTTCCAACAGCTTTTGGTAAAATTTCTCAGCAATTTCTTCATCCACGTCCATCTGGAAGACAATGAGAACAGCACTGTGAGACCATCACCTCAGCGGCAACCAACATATATGCTGAGGGCAGCTCTGGGGACAGCAGGGTCCATCTCCAAAGCTTCTACATTCAGAGAGACAACTAAAGGCAACTATCACCAGGACATAAGCCAGAACATATTTTCAGGAAACATCGTTACACACTCATCCAGTTCTAACCATCATCTCCACTGTCTTCCAGACTCCAGCCTGAGCCAGAAGTTACTCTAGAAACCTCACAGTTAACCCCACATCAGCATTCAACATGCATCTTACTTCCACTCCCGCCACAGGACACCCTTGGCGCCAACCTTTCCCTGCAAGGCAGATGGCAGACCCCTGGCCAAGTCTCCTGCAGCAGGAGGCTGCCGCTGCATTTACCTTTCTGGGCTCCACATAGTTCTTCCCCAGTCCAGAAGTACAGCTGTGGTATTTGACAAGCGCATCCAGGTACTCTGGCTTCTGTTTGAAGAGCCACACCTAGGAAGAACAGCACAAATGTGTACCAAGTCCAGCACACGCTGTCCCAGCCAAGCCAGCGCTCAAGGACCTGAGTGCCAATGGACACAGGAGAACACACCACAGGCGGTTTTACCAAGCAGGGGAAGACTTGATACCTAGAGAAGAAGTTCTGAGCTGGCTCCCTTCAGCTGTGAGCTACCTGAGCCAGCAGGAAACCATGTTTACGCCCCAGTTCTAAACCACTGAAGCAGTTGACATGGCTAAACTTGCTCACTACTGTTCTTGATGCATACTGTCCCCTGAGTTACTCACCTCCATCCCCTGTGCCCGCATGCCTACAGCGGCTTGACTGTCAAGAGACAGCAAGCAGCATTCTCCCTGACCAAGACGGAACGAAGAGTGTTTATCCAAAAATCATTTATTTTACGGGCACCTGATGAAGGGCATAAAGCATCAACCTGTTGGATCAGCCCTGATCACAGCTGGTCCCCCAGCACTCACTGCTGTAAGCTGTTTGGGGCAGGGGGAAATATAGCACCCGCCCACCAGCCTGGCAGAGAACCTCTTTGTTCAAGCCAGCAAACACTGGAAGAGCTACCCAGAAGGAATATTAAAAAAAAAAAAAAAAAAAAAAAATCAAGTTGTGAACTACTTACGTGAGCTTCAGCTCCATTGTACGGTGTCAGAGTGTAAGTTTTGGCAAAAAAGCGGATCTGAGGGGAAAAAAAGTACGTGACAGAATCTGTATTTTGCCCCAAGGTTTCTTTGGCAAGCCCTCTGCAGTCCAGCCACACCAGTACATCTACCAGAGGCAGAAATGCTTCTCAAAGTTGACTACAGGTTAACGCTGCACGCTTCTGACTAAAGCATCCCTGTATCACCACATACCCTGGTCTCTGGTGCCACCCACCAGACCAGCAAGCCTCGCTCCATGCCCCCACACAGAGGTCCCCCCCAAAGCAAGAGGCAGTGGGCCACACAAACGCCTTGCGGGGACCTCTTCTGGAATGGTCTCAAGAGCACATCAGACAGGAGGCAGAAAGGTTCTGCAATAGTGCTGGTGTGGAGGACAACTGAGAAGGCATTGCCTCCCCTCTTCCAGGAGAAACATGATCCATCAGGATCAGCTGCTGCCAGCTGGGGGAGCTTAAAGAGAAAGGCCAATCTCGCAGCGAGAGCATCGAGGCTCAGGGCAGGCAGGGACAGAACTATAGCGAACGTGAAAAGCTGAAGCCCGGAGGAAGAAGGGCCAGGAAAGTTTTGGGGCAGAGGGGAAGAGGCAATAGAGAGCAGCAGGCTTTGCTTTCCAGAGGGATGGAAAGAAGAGAGCAGGAGACACTGCCTTCTAGAGGGATAGAAAGAAGAACACTGCTCTGTTCTAGAAACAAAGAGTGTTTCAAAGCACAGGGGCCAAGTTTTGTCTTGAGCTCTGCTGCCACCAAAATAATCGAGTTTCACAAGCCCACAGCAGGCTGGCAAGCCTTCCAAACGGGGGTTTGACAAACGCTACTATGGCTGAAGGGCTGAACCCCAACTCTACGTACAGTGCTGTCCGGCACCAAACCTCCCAACTCAGCTTGGAAATCGGGGCCCCAAGGTGCCAAAGGGAAGGTTTGCAGAGGGACCAGCCTGCCCAATCCAACAGAAGGAAGAGCTGTATAGCAGCCTGGGTAGCAAGGAGCTAGAAGCATGCTGCACATCACCTGTGGTGAAGTATATCACAGCAGGGCTACCTCAACCTAAAACCAGCCGGGAAATCCACTTACCAACCACATGATGGGCATTAGCAGCTTCCACAGAAAAACTGGCAAAATTCTGTAGGTCATGTTAGACATAACGAGACCAGGACAAACAACACTGGAATACAGTCCCTGCGGAAAAGAAACCCAGTCAGTGTGGAAATACACAATAGTTAGTTTAAGTATGTATCATACTCCTTCCCTACTAGTATTTCTCAGCAAGAAAATGCAGGTGAGCACAGAGACCAGTTAACAGTAGATGCTCGCCTCTCTAAAGTCGCCAGAGAGTGATTAGACGCGGTGATTTCTGAGAGGTCCAAATTGGAGATGTCCATGTTAAATCAGTGCCTGTTGCAAGCCTGCGAGAGAGGAGGCGCAGCCTCCCGCCACATCGCAACTTCCCGTTGCAGCCTACACGCAGCTCAGCAGCAACAGCGGTCATCCCGCAAATTACAACCCGCTCACATAAAAGGCTACCTCACCTTTAAGAGACAAGAGTTCAGCCTTCTATGACTAAACCATTTTCTCCTGAAGTATTTCAGGAGAGTGCCATCACTATCACGGGATTAAGGCTGCCAACAAAATCCAGCAGTCGCCCGTGACAGGGAAGGCAGGTTCTTAGCGTGTCATACATCGGATAGGCAGGTACGCCTGAAAAGAGCAGCAGCTCTTTGCTCTTTAAGACCAATTCTTTGGTCTAAAAAGACAGCTAGAGTTTGCAAGGTAGAAACCATTCCTAAAAGTCTTCTGTTTTCAGAAGTGTTTCTGACAAGAACCCCAGAAGCAATCTCTCTGGCAGATTCTCCACCACCCATACCACCGGTTCAACCTGCACCACATGTGCATTAAGGAATGTATCAGATTGCTACGAATGAATGCAACCGGGTAACAACAATGCAATGATAATTATAAATAGTAGGAGCTCATTAGGTTTCTTCAGTCATGCAAACCCCATCGTCACCTGCTTATTAAATTTCCTGTTCAGAACCACACTTGTCAGGTCAGTAGCATATTTGGAGGAACTGTATGATTCCTGCCCCTTGGCATGCTGATAGTCAGAAAGGCTGAAGGCAGACTCCCTGGCATTGCTGGAAGAAGTCCAGATGAGTCGTGAGGGCTTTTCATTACCGCAGAGTAGAGGCTCAAGTTGACGAACCTGCAAAATAATTGTTAACTTATCTAACACGATAATTCTAGAGTCTTGCAGTATAGCTTTGTAGTTCTTAAAAGCCACAAGATTATCTCAGCTTTCCTAGTCTTGGCCAGTCTTCACTAGACTAGCCAGATGCGGCCATTGCTCAGGTATAACTTCAGCCCAAGGTCCACCAGGAGCATTTACAAGGAGCCACCGTTCTCTTACACAGCTCAGTTGACCACCTCAGAATTTAATATAGCCATGTCTTGGTATTCACCCTGGACAGACAGAACTATGTATGGTTTACCTCTATCCACTGACTACAGTAACCTTGCAATTATATTAACCCTTGCAACGACGACTATCACCATTTATCGCCATGTTAAGGAACGACAGGGCAAATGTCTTGGACTTTTTTATCTGTCAGATTGCAGCCTGCATCAGTGTCCGAACCTATAAGACAGAACTGATTCATCAATACCACCTGTACCCATCCCCACCCACATCAACCACCAGACCGAGGGCTCGATCTTCATACGCAGCCTCACCAGCATAAAGTGTCCAAAGAGGTTGGTAGCAAACACCTCCTGCAGCCCATCTCCGTTAAGCCTGTCCGTCTGGGTCATTATGCCTTCCGCAGTGGTGAGCATGTGAAGCACCTTCCTGGAAGCCAAGGACAGGAGTTAGAGAACAACATTGCCAGGAGGCATCTACTGCTCCCCAACTTCAGTCCTTCAGAAGTTTCCCCCCACCTCACAAGCTCCACACAGACTCTCTATTTGCACCTTCAAGTGAAAAAACAGGTGGAAATTTTTTTTACAGAGCATCCCACCCCCTTTATTTGCAAGTGTCTCACTATTTACTAGACTGGAGAAGACTTGTCCCTTCCTTCACTTCACCACAGTATAGTACCATTAAAAAAAAAAAAGTCTTGCTCTTCCATTTCACGTTCAGATAACAAAATCAAGCTCCAGTGTGGAACTAAGCCCTAGGGCCATGCTTAATTCAGATAACCAAAGCAGTCTAGCATCTCTGTTCAACACCCCAACAACTGTATCAGACTCAACGCAAGTAACTTTCCTCCCTAGCTCAGCTTCCCCACATTGCTTATAGAATAACGATGCTTATCCCCAACGGTGCTTATAGAATAAGCATCAACTATTAAATTCACAAGATACCAGGATCCACAGCTCAGAATGACTACAAAAACCTACAGTGGACCCACAATAACAGTAAGGAGACCCAGTAAGAGCAAACTTCACTTTACCAGCAACACACCAGCTTTTTTCATTCAATGCCTGGTGGCAGGACCTGCAGGCTTTGGTGAGCTCCTGCCCTCCCCCTGCACACAGCGGGCCTCACACCAGGGATCCAAAGCAGCACTGGGTACCGTGGACCACCCTAGAACTTCACCCAGATGCCAAGCCCACCCCACACAAGGCCGTGCATCCCACAGGGACATCCTCTGTGTCACAGTGGGGAAGGGAGACAGGGTCTTCAGCCCTGGACCCAAGGGCGTGCCTTTGCCACGATGATGCTGCCAGCATCCCATACTGCCCACAAGCTGGGGACTGGACTCCCCCCCCC